AAATAAATAAATAAATAAATAAAACCTCCAGCAGCGTCTGGCACAGCGCCCTTAATCAGACACATTACATTCCTCTAGCAATACTATGAATATTCATACTTAAATGGGACTCAGTTTATAAATAACCTCTCAATTTAAATTTGTGGTTTTTAAAAATAGAGCAATGAACAACTAAATGATTGATCGAGTCAGAGTGGAATAAAAATGGATTATAAATATCATACACTTTTTATTTCTTATTTTTTTGAAGATTTTACTTATTTTTTTATTTGAGTGAGAGAGTACAGGTGAGCGGGGCGGGGGGGAAGGTGAGGAACAGAGGGTTAGGAGAGGGACAAGCACACTCCTCACTGAGCACGGAGCCCAGTGCATGGCTTGATCTCATGACCCTGAGATCATGACCTGAGCCACCTAGGCGCCGCTGGGAGGTCTCGTTTTTTTTTTTTTTTTTTAAAGATTTTATTTATTTATGTGACAGAGAGAGAGATAGCCAAGAGCAGGAACATAAACAGGGGGAGTGGGAGAGGGAGAAGCAGGCTTCCCACTGAGCAGGGAGCCTGATGCGGGGCTCGATCCCAGGACCCTGGGATTATGACCTGAGCCGAAGGCAGACACTTAACGCCTGAGCCACCCAGGCGCCCCTCACCACATTTTTTTAAAAAGGAGAAAAGGCACATGATCATCTCAATAAATGCCGGAAAAACATTTGACTAAATTTAATATCCATTAATGATAAAGGCTCCCAGCAAAATAGGAATAGAAGGGAACTTCCTTAATCTGATAACACATCTATAACAAACCTACAGCAAACATAATTGGCAGTGAAATATTGAGAATTTTCTGCCTGATAGCTGGAATAAGATGAGAGTGTCTGCTATTACCAGTTCTAGTTAACATTGTACCAGGGGTCCTAGACAGTACAAGTCTAGGAAATAAAGGTGTAAGGACCAGAGAAGTAAATCTGTTTTTTATTTACAGATGACACATGATTGTATAAATGTAGAAAATTCAAAATAATCTCCAGATAAGCTATTAGAATAAACAAATTCATCAAGGTCACTGAATGCAAGGATAATATGCAAAAATCAATTATCTTCTTGTATGTTAGTACCAAATGAATAGAGAATAAATATTTGTAAGCAATAGTGTTTGTAATTGACATAAACAAATTAAATATCCAAGAAGAAATCTAATGAAATATATACAAGACATCTATTCTGAAAGCCACAAAACATCATTGAGAGAACTTAAAGAAGACCTAAATAAATGGAGAGATATACCATGTTCGTGGATAGAAAAGATACATAAAGTAAAGATGTAGTCTCCCCAAATTGATTTAGAATCCCAATACAAATCTGGGAGGTTTCTATGTAGAGATTGACGGGCTGACTCTAAATTGTGTCTGGAAGTGCAAAAGACTAAGAGTAGCCAAGGCAACCTCCAAGAGCAAAGCTGGAGGACTAAGGCAAATAAATGTCAAGTCTGACTGTAAAGCTACAGTTAATAAGACAGTGTAGTTTAGACAAATGGACCAAAGAAATAGAATAGGGTATTCAGAAACAGATTCACATATTTATATGCTCACCTATGTATAACAGGTCACACTTTAGAGCAGATTAGAAAAGACCATGTTTGTGGTAAATGGTGGTGGGTCAATGGGATATCCATATGGAAATGGATATCCACAAGTATAACCTCCCCATGCGTACATAATCCATTTAGGACTCCATAAATATAGGCTCACTGATTTCAGACCCAACTTTAACCCTCCTGGCATTTTCCCACCTTTGAATAACAGATTTCTTTCCTCCTCCCAGGACAGAGCATCTGCTCAGCAGCAGCTATGGATGGTGGAAGACACGCTGGCAGGTCTGGGGGGCCCACAAAAGCCACCCCCCAACACTGAACCTGACTCCCCATCCCCCGCACTCCAAGGCGAGGAGTCATCAGAGAGGGAGGTAAGACTCACAAGCCTCTCTCCCCACCCCCAGCTTCCTGTCCCATCTGCACAATTCATCACCCACTCAACCTTTTTCTCTCTCCCTTTCTTTCTCTCAGCTAACCATCCACAGGCAAGTATCCTAAACTCCAGAAGCCTTTGTTTCTTTGTTATATTGTGATCGTAGTCCAGTGTTATGCTGGAGCCAGCTCCCAGCACCTCCCAAAAGCCACTTCTGTGCATCTCATCTCAACTCCGTATTCAGTGATGTCATATTGGTAGCTTGAAATTGACCATGGTGGGAGTATTTGCACCACAGAGATTGGCCAATGCTGCAAACCAGGGTGGTTTTCTCCCAGAGAGGCATTTATTCAACATTTATGAGACACCGCTGATCATAACTCTCAACTTGTAGGGTTCTGTAAAAAGGAGAGATGATGATTAGAAAGTGTCTGACACGGAGTAGGCCCTCAGGAGGCAAGAGCCTCTGTTGCCGTAGTTGGGTTAGAGCTGCTGTGGGCCTTGATCATCTGATTGTGTATCCGAGAGACCTGGGTTCAGATTCCAGCTCTGCCATCTTTGTGATCTCAGCTGTCGATTTCATTCTTGGGGCCTTGGCTTCTCCATATGTCAAATAGGGATAATAATTGCTGCTTTGCAGGTTTATGGAGGGGATTCAATGCGATCTTCATATCAAAGATGAAATGTGGCCCAGAGAGGTAAAGTAACTTGCCCAGGGTCACACAGCTCATAAATGGCAGAGCTGAGATTTGAAACCAGACTGGTTTTCAATCTGACTCCTATTCATGCTGTGTCTTGGTTGCTGAGTGTCTGAGAAATAGTAAGAATGACGATGATAGGGGCGCCTGGGTGGCTCAGTCGTTAAGCATCCGCCTTCGGCTCAGGTCATGATCCCAGGGTCCTGGGATCGAGCCCCGCATCGGGCTCCCTGCTCAGTGGGAAGCCTGCTTCTCCCTCTCCCACTCCCCCTGCTTGTGTTCCCTCTCTTGCTGTCTCTCTCTCTGTCAAAAAATAAATAAAATATTAAAAAAAAAAAAAAGAATGACAATGATAAGCATTATTCTCCTTTCCTGACCCCTCCAGAGCCTGCCTGAGTCCTTGGAACTGAGCTCATCCCGGTCCCCTGAGGCTGACTGGGGACGGCCCCCGGGGGGCGACAGAGACCTCTCCAGCCCTCGCTCAGGTGAGCGTCCTGGGCTGGATGGGACTTGCTTGGCATTCCCTGCCCTCACCAAGTCCCTGTTCTGCACTCCCAGGTCTTGGATCTCCAAGGGTCTCCCGGGCCTCCAGCCCCGAGAGTCGCCGGCCGGCTTCCCCACAACCAGGAACCAAGGTAGGTGGTCCATCCGCGTGTCCTCAGGCCCATCTGTAACCCTTTAACCTGACCAGCACCCACTCTGGGCAAACAGCTGGGAGAAAGGAGTTCTGAGATTATACCCCAGAGCAGAGAGAGTGAGATTTGTTGAGAGTGCTGGGATTCAATTTTGTCTCTGCTAATTCTAAGCCGTGTGACTTTGGGTCTGTTATGAAACCTCTCAGCCTGCGTGTGCTCATCTGCAAAATGGAGCTCCTAGCACCCCACTCCCCCATCCTGGCCAGAGCTGATGTGAAGATTCAAACTGGATCTCAAACTAGGGTTGAAAATAGTGCTTAGGGACGCCTGGGTGACTCAGTCAGTTAAGCATCTGCCTTCCACTCAGGTGGTGATCCCAGGGTCCTGGGATCGAGCCCTGCGTTTGCCCCTCCCCATCTCCCTCCCCCTGCTCCTGCTGTCTCTCGCTATCTCTCTCTCTCTCTCAAATAAGTAAAATCTTAAAAAAAAAAAAAGAAAGAAAGAAAAGAAAATAGTACTTAGATGTATTAAGGACTTCATTCATTCATTTGAAAATATTTATTAAATATCCTCATGGCTGGGGGCGCCTGGGTGGCACAGTTGGTTGAGCATCCCACTCTTGGTTTTGGCTCAGGTCGTGATCTCAGGGTCGTAAGATGGAGCCCCGAGTTAGGCTCTGCACTCAGCCCGGAGTCAGCTTGAGATTCTCTCTCCCTCTGCCCCTCCCGCTCGTGCGCTCTCTCTCTCTCTCAAATAAATAAAATAAATCTTAAAAAAATATATATATCCTCATGGCTGCCCAATAAGGTAGCGGGTAGCTACATCGGACTATTTAAATTTAAATGAATTAAAAGGAAATAAAATTAATTAATTAATTAATTTAAAGATTTTATTTATTTGACAGAGAGAGACACAGCGAGAGAGGGAACGCAAGCAGGGGTAGTGGGAGAGGGAGAAGCAGGCCTTCCACCGAGCAGGGAGCCCAGGACCCTGGGATCATGACCTGAGCCAAAAGCAGACGCCCAACGACTGAGCCACCCAGGCGCCCCGAAATAAAATTTTTAAAAAATCGCTTGCACTCACTGCATTTCTGGTGCTTAGGGGCCACCCGTGTGGCTGGAACCGAGTGAGCGAGCGAGGGAGAGAGGGGTGGAGAGGAGAGGAGAGATGGGTATTGGCGGTGGACCGTGCTGGGGCTTGTGGTTCAAGGTGGGCCCCGCGGAGGGTTCTGAGCTGCGATAAGCGGGAGCCGGCGCCCTCTGCCGGCCATGAGGGGAACAAGCTGTGGGGCGAACTCCGAGGCAGGGGACCCAGTGAGGACAGTCCAGGCGGGAGATAACCTAACTTCCGCTAGGTTAAGTGGAAGAACTGAAGATGTTGAGAGGAAGGTAGATTATAGTTATACCGATCTTCAAACTTTATCCAAAACCCTGGGGACCCGATGTAATGCAAAATGCCAAAATTTGCAGATTCTAGGGTCGCCTGGGTGGCTCAGTAGGCTAAGCGTCTGCCTTTGGCCCAGGTTATGATCCCAGGGTCCTCGGATCGAGGCCCACATCCGGCTCCCAGCTCATCGGGGAGCCTGCTTCTCCCTCTCCCACTCCCCCTGCTTGTGCTCCCTCTTTCTCTGTCAAATAAATAATTTTTTAAAAAATTTGCCGATTCTAGGCTGGTAGTAGGATACATATACCGTGTATTATATAAAACCTCCCGGCGCGCCTGGGTGGCTCAGTCGTTAAGCGTCTGCCTTCGCTCAGGTCATGATCCCGGGTGCTGGGATCGAGCCCCGCATAGGGCTCCCTGCTCCGCGGGAAGCCTGATTCTCCCTCTCCCACTCCCCCTGCTTGTGTTCCCTCTCCGCTATGTCTCTGTCA